CCAAAAAAATAACAAACGAAGTCCAAAAATTATGAAATTTTGTATGCTTATTCTAAACAAAAAAATAATCAAATTAAAAAAAAATAGCTTCAAAAGCTTTCTTTATGAGAGAGAAATTTTCATTTAAAATCTGCCTTCATTTCTCTCTCTTCAATGGCTAAATTAAAATGAAACCAGATTTTCCATTTTCTCTCTCTTCAATGGCTGAATCTCTTGGTTTTATAGTACATAAATCGGTGTTTCAATGCAGAAAATAAGGAAAAATAAGTAAAAAACATGTACTAATGACTGAAATGCGTGTTCCCAAGAAAATGCATGGGAAAGTGATAATTAATCTCAGCCATCCATAATCTCAAAATTGATGGTGTAAGATTGGTTCTTATTTTAAGAGGGTTCTCACCTAAGGGGTGGGTTCTCACATGATCCCTCCCCTATATATATATATATATATATATATATATAGGTACTCCTTATTTGAGAAATAACATTGATTTTCAACGGAACCCCACCCACCAGGCTGAATTACTAATCACTGCATTCCAATTAGCTTCCTCACCTTCCAAGGAATAGTACTTGTAAAGTAATGGGACATTGTAAGTTATCTCCTAATGCCCAAAGGAGCTTAGTAATAGCTACCTTATTTCAAAGCACCAGATCCTTGGTATTCCAGCCTCAGCGCTCTTGGTATACACAATTTTCCCGAGCAAGCAAACCTCTCTTACACGAAGTGTCACCTGTGCATTTACCCAAAGAACTGAGAATTTATTGTTAATATAGGGCTAATGTTTTTGTAGTTGACAACTATGATAGGTTCACTAGGAAACTTATTGGTAAGTAAAAGCTTGTTTCCCAAAAGTGAGTATGAATTTTTGAGTTTGGGCAGCTTATTAGCATGTAGTAACATGTTCTCCAAAGAAAGTAGTAACATGTTCTCCAAAGAATATACGAGTATGCAGATATGGAAACTTCTAATATATGTAAACACAAGGAATTTCCAAGCATTAGCTGGAAAGAAGTTATAAAATTTAGTTTCTTTATAATTGGCAGCCTTTGAATTGCTTGTTATACCTTATAGATTATATAAGTTAGCACCCATTTAATATATGCATCAAAGGACATAAATATTTGTAAGTTCGACATTGAAGTATTACCTGATACCGGAGATCAGACTGAAAGGCCATTAGATCATTTCATAGCATGTTCAGAACATACTATTATAGGCAGCGCATTACGCAGTTTATCATGTGTGAAAAAAGATATCTCGATTTTAGACCATGTGGCTCAAACAGCTAAGTAACCCATACTCAACATGGATGCGATTCCAAAATGCATTTCATGAACCACAAGCATGCCTTTACATAATATACCACCCTTTCCCCGTTTAGAGAAACAGATTAGAATTATATTGCTAATCAAGTAGTAAGTTTTTGTTTACTAAAGATATGGCTGCTATAAGAATTTCTAATATTTTGTATATTAACACCATCTTAAGACGAAATCGATATCCAGATTCCACCGAGAAACTTTAAACAGCAACTGGCAATAATCTTAAGTAGCAGCAACTATCAGTAGAATATTATATTCAATTACTTAGTTTTTAACTGTTCACACATTACTTAATATTCAACTATGAAGAAGCATGCAATTTTCTTTAATCTCAAAGTTTCCTATATTTTAGGAGAAGGTGTCCCTTAAGAAAACTCAAAACATCAAAATAAGAAAGCTGTTACAAGCATTAAAGGCCTGGTTTTAGAGGCATGAATAACAAACTCATAGTTTTTCAGATCATCATTTTTGCAAATTGACTCAAAGGAACCTATTTTTTATCAATTCAAAACAGGGGGAGTACAACTAGCCAAAAGTTTGATTAGAAAATTTTTAAATGAAGTGCGTGTTTTGGGTAGGTAAGAGCAAATACTCCCCCCCATTCTTTTTCGTTTTTTTCACTTGCATTTTGTGGGGTCTCCAATGCAAATGTTTGACCAACTATATATTTAATTATTTACTAAGTTAAATTATAAAAAGAAATTGATACTTGAATACTACACATTTGCATCATAGTTTACAAATACTTCATTCTCTTACTAAGTGTAACACCTCAAATCAAACGTTCCAATATTTGATATAAGTAAGGAATAAGTAGCAAAGTTCCCATTATAGTTTAACTAACTCTCTCGTTTTGTTCTATTTCCATTATTTTCATGCAGGGTATATTGTCTTTTCTTAAATAATTCTTCTCCATCTCCTCATACTACCACCTTCCTAGGTATAGAATTGGTGGGAAGATTTTATCCCTATCCCAACCCCTCTTTTAGTATCAACCCCTTGAACAAAAGTTAGACTTATCGTTTCACTTAACCCTTATCCTTGATTCTTCCTCCTCAGGAGCACAAAACAATCACCCTCATTAGGTATCATAAAAATACCTAAATTATCCAAATCTAATTTGCAAAAACGTATTTTAAGGAAGATAGAATCATAAAATATAGGGTGCTGATATTGCCAAAGCAAAAAAATTTCGCTTCAAATTTAAAAGTAAAGCTCTATTAATGGTGTCCTTTCCCCAAAAAAAGTACTAGTGATTTTAAGAGGATTTCATTGATAACTCTTGGTGAATAATTAAAGGCATATTTTAATGAGAATAATCAATTAGTGGAGTTGGAATGATTTTAATTAAAATATTTAGCTACTAAATGACTTGGTTGGAAGTAGTTAGGAAGAATATAAAGTATATGGATTTGCATGAGGATGAGGCATTGGATCGTAAAGGGATGAGGAGGAAAATATTTGTTGATGACTACACAGAATAATCACCTTTGATTCATAATGTAGCTGACCCCACTTATGAGATTAAGGTTTTGATTGATTGATTTAGCTAATATAATTATAGGTAATAAAATATTACAAAAGATTATTGGCTATAAAGATAATCAAAAGATTGGAAAATATTTTCGTTGAATAAATAAGTTTGACATATATAAATTCTCATAGATAATGGATAGCGAGCAAGGGCGAAGCCAAGATTTTCAAGCCTAGGGGGCCGGACTTGTTAGACAACATATTGATGGGAAAAAAAATGTACTACGGCGTAATATTTTATTGTTACAAAAGAAAAAAAAATACGTGATTGTTACAAAAATATGTATGGGTCGGAATTGAACCTATATCTCTTGTGAAATTGTATCATTACCCAACCAATAAAACAAGCTATACTTAATACAATATAGATGTATTTAATAATATGTATAGCAATTTTAGGGGGGCCTAGATATCAACTATGGGCTGCAAATTTGGGTCGGGGAGGCCGGGCCTCCACCAGCCCCCATTCCCTTCGCCCTGGGTAGCGGGTAGATAATTTAGCCTTAGACGTGGCTTTTTTGCCATGGCAATATCAAGACCCTAGAGTATAATACTTATATATATATATATATATATATATATATATATATATGTATATATATGTATGTATTTCCAATCCTAAATTTTCTTCTTATTTGAAATCTAGACACTATTCACAATTTAAGAGAATCTCCTAAATTCTTCTAAATATATAGGAAAAATCATGGTTAATTGGGGTCTTATTTGATTTTCCATGATGAGAAGAGTACTTATAAAATACAAAACTTGTATAATTTTTACTAACATAAAACTAGGGATATTAACAATTTAAAAATATGCATTGGCAATCATATATAAGGGAAATGTGAAGAATTTAAAGGATCGAAGAGAGAATAACAAAGTGAGTTTCCTAATTTATATAGTCTCACAGTTGCTATTTTAAGCTACCCTTGATTTTTAATGTATGTGTAAAGTACGAAAAGTAACAAAAACTCTCTTTCTTATTATGAGATCCTATATAGAATTGTCTAATCATAGTTTATACCGATAAGAGTCTAGTATTAAAAATTTATGTACATTTTATAAGATTTTGTTTAAAGCTAATTATTCATTAAAACTTCAGCCTTAATTTTAATGTTGTGACTTGTGATTGGTTCCCTTAAAGTAGTTGATGATCACCCTTAACCATGCATCCCCACATTATGCAAATGAGCCAATTCCCAAAACCATTTTATCAGTATTATACTTCATTATCCTACATTATGATAACTTGTACATATACTTTAAACTCCAATATCATCTGTGACAATCTAAAGATGTTTACTAATCATCAAAAAGCATAAGAGTTCTTTTTGTCATTAGTCCCTTGATCAATCATTAAATGTGATCCTTACACCTCTGTACTCGTGATTCCATGATACCCACACTATCGTTCATTTAATCATCATATGTTCTCCACCATCATTATAATCATTTGCTAGTCCAAATTTCACACATCATCAAAGTTTGATTCTATACAGTTTCTTTATCCAATTTAATGCAGACATCCTTCTGTATGGGTCTTTGGGCAGTCCGTGTGAAACCCCTTCTACTCATATGAGAATGTTGGGGGATAATAAGTCTCCCATAGAGTTGTATGGTTAACTATATTGTAGTTGTACATGTTTATCATAGCTTTTGAAAGTTAGATTCCATTGGCAAGACAAGAATTACTAGCCGGAGAAAGGATCAGAAAATACTAAAACAAACAGGCACCAATCTCCCAAACACTTGCAGACTTACACTTATAGCCTAATGTCTGATTAGATGGTCATCCAAGTGAATGAAGGTTAACTCTAAACTGACAAGCTAGCAATTAAAGTTTCAAGAACAAAGAGAGGGACTGGATAATTATGAGCTATATATAACGCAAATTTCATATAAAGACGGAAAATCAAACCATCTAAAGGTTCCTTAACAAACAAAATCAAACCATTATAAGTGTAGGTAATGAGTTTGCAAAATACACTTTTCTAATGAACACTAAAAATTAGCATACAAAAGATAACGTACACAATGTCCAATTTGCAAAACCACAAGATAACATTTACAATATAAACCAAAATTATAAGCTTAAGAGAAAGTTCCCAAAAGGAAGCTAAAATAGAGAATAAAGCATTACCTCAAATGCCATTGATCCTCTCTATAACACTAATAAGACCTTGAATGCCAACCTTTCCATCACCATTAGCAACCATCACAACAAAGAGTTGCTTCCTCAATGATGCACCTGGTATAACAACCACCTCATCCTTATTACCACCCTTCCCCTTCAGCCCCTCGGCGAAATCAAGTCCCATACCAATATCCTTCACAATGTATTCAATAATCCCACCAAGCTCAAAATCCCTATCAATCATCCTTTGTCCAAATAACTCCATCACCATAGAACCAGCAGCCCCGCCTCGAACCGCTTCCATCCAATCCCTCCTATCCAACCCTACTTTCCCTGCAAAAACTAACCCTTCACTCAACCCCACCAAATTTGCACTAACCATAATCTGATTAGCTATCTTACAACTCTGCCCACTTCCAAGACCACCCATAAAACTCACTTTACTACCCATAATCTCCAACAATGTAGACAACCAACTAACAACATTTCTCTCTCCTCCAGCAAAAATAACCAAATTACCATTCCTAGCACCTGCATCTGATGAGGGAAAACTAGGTCGTTATCTAATCTTCCCTTGGTCAAACTAAATTTATAAACACTTAACAAGGCCTAATACGAGTATAGAGGCAAGTCAAGGGTCGAACCCAAAGGAACGGCAATGTTTAGATTATGCGCCTAAGCTAGGTCGAAGACAAAGGTAAGAGAGAATACTAACAACTAACAAAACAAGTAACCAAGGAAATAAAACACTAGGAACGGGGATCAACAAGTAATCATGTCAATTGCAAAAACTTGGGAAGAGCATGACAATCAAAGGTTGTGAGGACTAATGATAAGAGCAATCAATAGGAATCAAAGAGATATCTCCTAATTGTTAAGCTAGGGTTCACTATGAATAACAAATAAAGAGAATCACAATCAAAACCAATCGATAATTGCAATTCCTAAATCAATTGTTCATGTCATTAGCAATTACAATGCAATCTAGCATAATTCTCAAGGCCTAATTGAATTACACAGATGCAAACCTTCACTAATCACTTTAATCTCAACAATCAATCAACACAATTCCCAAATTAATCACAATTAATCAATCATACAAGTTTCACCCAATTCCTAGCCAACCAACTATTCAAGAATCATCATCTATCAACTAACAACTATGGAAATCAAGAATCAACAAAATATCAAGAACAATTACACTAATCAAGCATCAAACATCAAAATTAAACCAAACAAACATGAAATTAAACAAAGCAATAAGGTGAGATAGAGTTAAGAATGCTCATTGATAATAGAGAAGATCTTGAACACAATTGTCACCCTTATATCTTCAATCTCTCAATCACCATTGAAATTCTTCACTTTCACTCTCTAAAACTACTCCTAATTTAGCCTAATCTAGAGAGAGAAGCTCTCAACCTAAGAGAGAAACTATTCTAAAAAATAAGAATTACATGAATGAATGATAATGAAAACCCCCAAAAACAATCTATAAACAAAAGGAGAAAAGAACCTTAAAATCGTAAAATACCCAGAAGCCCGCGCCCTGAGAGAAATCGGCCGCACCCGCGGACAGCCCGGAAGCCGCGCCCGCGGGGCCAAGGCCCGCGTCCGCAGGGAGCCCGCGGAGAGTTACTGCCCAAAATCGGTAGAAATAGGTTGCGGCATATTTGCAAGGCCAACTTTGGAAGGCTGTAACTCACGATCTAGGAATTTTATGAAGACGTGTAACCTATCATTGGAAAGATTTTCAAGTCTAGTTTCCAACCCAACTTGAATCACCTCAATCCAATCTGTAGAACTTGAGATATGGACGAAACAATGCACAAAGGTCCTTTTTGATACTTTGTAAGCCTTCATTTTCCTTTATTTCTTGGATTGGCTTGACTTGCGTGCTTGGCTTCCCTAACTTGGCTCCATTAAATTCCATTAATGCACTTGAGCTCCCTCGATGATTAAATCTCGAAAAGCTCGACACACCTACAAAACAAGTCAAACAAACGGAGAAGCGAGGGAAATAGTCGAGAAATGAATAAAATAATAAGAAAACCATTAAAAGCACGCATTTCTCTAAACTAACACACAAACACGCAAATCAAGCATTATTCCCTAAAAACACGACATAAACGACTAAAAACGAGCAAATAAAATCCAAACCAAGGGAAAAACGATGAATTTATTCAAGCAAATAAAGAAACAAGAAAGATAGAGGATGAGAATATACACTAACTCACTTTCGTAGGAATCACAGTCAATTTTAGCAACTAAAGACAAGCCATTTAAACCCCTAGATCACCCTAGAGGACGAGTGATGCTCTCGTAAAGGTTTCCTAAGAGATTAACCCATAACTCTCATAATAATACAAACAAGGCAAAGCATAAAGAAGGTAATCAAAAGAAAAGAAGAGCAAACACATGTTCATGAAAGGACTTTTTAAAATGTACAAGCACAAATGAATGCAAATTTTTCTAAATAAGTAAGGGAGTGCACGCTCCGAGATACCTAAGGTTGATTGAAACATAAATATGCTAAGCATAGGAACTAGTTATCACACTCCACTTCCATCCCAAACGGTCTTACCGCGTTCCCCCTACTAATCTCATATCTCCCCTTAGTGAGCGTCTCATAGATTCCACGAAGGAACCGGAAAAAGATCAAAATTTTGGCTTACTCGACATCTTGACTTCGCATCCCCTTTCCTTAGGCTATAACCCATGATTCCCTCCACCGATGAATGACTCAACCCCTAGGTCAAAAGGTCTTCCCAAAGGTTGTAACGTAAGGCAAAAAGGGTTAAGGTAAGCTAAATTTAAAATTTGGTGGTTAACCTAAATTGTGAGGCAAAGATTGCGCATTTCTTTACACCATAACCAAGTAATCACCAAACAAAAATACCAACACCCCCAAGCTTATTCAAAGCTAAGATCACAAACATATACACAAAAAGCGTGAGAACGCTTCCCCCCAAGCTTAAACGGAGCTTTGTCCTCAATGCTCAAAAAGGAAGAATACTCACATAAAAATATTTTTGCATTTTTCACTTTTTTTTTCATATTTCTTTATTAGTGCTTTGTCCTCGCCTCTTTTAACTTTGGACGACTTTTTCAAATTTGCACTTGCTTTGTCCTTGCCTTTTTTTAACTTTGGACGTCTTTTTCATTTATTCACTTGCCATTATTCACAAAATATACACAACACAAACTTGCTTTCAAGAGAACCAAATATCCAAACTCCTCCACCACAAACTCCAACAATAATGAACAATTGCTTCACAAAAACCAAGAATGGAAACGAAAATGAAACAAAAGGCTCAAGATCTAGAGATGTGGCTTGAAAAGAAGGGAAAAAGGCTCAAAAGGTTAGCAAGTAGGCAAATGTAAACCCAAAAACCGAAGAAAATGAAAACTATCCCAGAAAAGAAAAATTACCACCTCAAAAAGAAGCCTTTGTCCTCCCTAGGTGGTTCCGTCTCGGTCTTGGGAACCATAAGTCAAGATTCTAGATTAGGTCCGCAATAGTCAAGGATCCATGCCGCTCATGCAAGTAAATGTTGAAGGCTTGAAAAATAATGAACCTCACACAAATGTAGCCAAAAACTCACTATGGGTGTCAAATCGACTATAGGGAGCAACTACCAATCATGCCACAAACAAGTAGAATCCGGCTTCATGATCCCCCTAGTTCTAGACAACTACCTTAGCATGCTTTATCCTAGAATCAACCAAACGTAATCTCAAACCGTGCACACCACTACCATTTAGGAAGAAAAACATTCAAGTATACAAGTCCAATTGTTATTATGTCCAAAGCAAGAACAAAACAAAACGCATTGAAAATTTGCCTTGATAAAAACAAAAATCTTTTTGGAGTTTTTCAAAATAAAAGAACATGGAAAAGCATATACAAAGGTGCATAACATATTTGAATCAACATCCCACCAAACATGATAGAATACCCTCCCCCAAGCTTGAATGAGACATTACAATCAAACATAAATCAAATAATCCATGGGAGGGGAAAACAAGGAGAATTATCCAACAATACCAACACATGCCAACAAGGCATCAACCATGAGAGAGAGAGCAAGGAAAGATATTACCGGACTTAGGTGGGTGTAAATACCCGCAAATGACCCAAATTAACCTTTCAAAACTAATTTCCTCAAGAATTGAACCTTGCCTTCCATATGCTAGCAAAAATAGGAGTCAAACTTCCTTGATTCTTGATCCAAATCGAAGCACCAAAGTATATCAAGTCATGTACCTAGAAAAAGGCACACAAACATTTCCATGAGAGAACATCTATTCTAAAAAGCAAATGAAAATCTAATCTAAAGCACGGGTTACTTCCCGAGAAAGGCTTGCTTAAGGTCCAAGCTTGACCGCTCTAGAAAATAATAATTCAACGCACGCAAGAGCTTGTCAAATGCACTACTACACATTTCATAGGAGAGAAGGTAGGAAAATGACGCGAAGAGTACGTGCAACAAGGATAGTGCACGCAAATGAGGAGAGAGATGCCAAGAAAAGGAAGAGGAAGAATCAAAAGAAAATTCAACACAATATGAAGAAAAAGAAAAAGAAGAACAAGAAGAAAAATAAGGCAAACTCTCCTCAAAATATTTTTGGGTGGTAACATCACCCTTTTCCTCAATTGGGGACAAATGAGCTTCATACAAATCTTCATAGACAAAAGGGTCCCCAATAGGCTCATTGACAAAAGAAGGGAGGGAAATAGGAGTGTAAGGGATATGGTTTAATCTTCTTGAAAAAAGGGTATGAGAAAAGAGAAAAGGGGCTATGGTCTCACAAATGAACTTTTTCTCACCACCATGCCTCAAATCACCAATAAGAGCATGGAAATCAATCATAGAGTCCTCAAAAGAAGAACACTCATGATATCCATCTCCCTCAAACATCCAACCTCCAAGAGGAACAACATAATCCCCTCCATCACAACTATGAACAACAACTCCCTCAACAACTTTAAAGCCCAAGGTCTCAAAACCATGCATGAATGGATGCAAATTCATTTCAAACTCATCTCTCTCCCATGAAGCATCCTCAATGAACTCATTTAAAAAGCTATGGGTTTTCTTTTGACTCTCAAAGAATGCATTGGACATAACCTCAAACGAGTCTAGATACTCATGGATAGAAGAATCACAATCATGCACAAGAGACTCATCAAGATGGGAAGGAGGGTTAGGATAATCAAATTCAACACTCTCTTGGTTTTCAACTCCTTCACCATCACTAACATGCTCACTAAAAGGGTCCTCACCCTCTCTTGGTTGTTCAAAATCATCATCATCATCATCATCCTCAACACACACATTATATAGGGATTTTTCACATACAAGCATCAAGGATGAAAATTCATTTTCCAACTCTTCTTTTCTTTTCAATTCTTTATTAAATAGATCCTCACCCTCTCTAGTCATCTCCAATTGGCTCCTTAAAGTTTCCATCATTTGTCTCTCTAAAGGCCTAAGATTAGGATTCATCTCTAACTCCCTCAAAGATTCATCAATTTGGCTATAGGGGACTAGAGACTCATCACAAGAGTTTGGAGAATGAAAAGACAAAGAGGGTTGATCAATAGTATAAGAAGAGTCACAATCAAGGGTAGGACCATGCACATTAAATCATGAGCATTTTCGCTAAATAGGGGAGAAGGGGAACAATTAAGCATATGAGATTCGTTATTAAGGGAATGAACTACATCACAAGAAGACATGACAAATAATGAAGAAAATTGAAACACGCCATTAGCATCCACTTGAGCATGCACTACATCATCATGAACAAGAGGAGAAATAAAGTTGAAATCATGTGTTCTAGGTTCACTTAAGGGCTCATGTGACAAATCTTGGGAATTCATGCTAATATTAGAAGAATCAAGACAATGCACATCAATATTAGAATCATGAATACCCCTATTATAAACATCCCTAGCAAACCAAACATAAAAATCCCAAGCATTATCAATTGACAATGCTCTAAATTCACCATTATGCATGCATTCAACTTCATCCCTAGTTTGATCATTCAAACCAAAATAACAAATCTCACAAGCCTCCCAAAGACTACAACAATTATAGTCCAAAAATCCCTCAAGTCTATTGAAATATTCACAAAAAGGCTCATTGTCAAATTGAGGAAACGAGAAATATGCCATTTTTATACAAAACAAACAAAAATCAAATAAAAGAAAAGTATATACAAAGACCTATACTCAAGCAATTAAAAACACTCAAACATAGACACCGTTCCCCGGCAACGGCGCCATTTTGACGAGGGGAAAACTAGGTCGTTATCTAATCTTCCCTCGGTCAAACTTAATTTATAAACACTTAACAAGGCCAAATACGAGTATAGAGGCAAGTCAAGGGTCGAACCCAAAGGAACGGTAATGTTCAAATTATGCGCCTAAGCTAGGTCGAAGACGAAGGTAAGAGAGAATACTAACAACTAATAAAACAAGTAACCAAGGAAATAAAACACTAGGAACGGGGATCAAAAAGTAATCATGTCAATTGCAACAACTTGGGAAGAGCATGCTAATCAAAGGTTGTGAGGACTAATGATAAGAGCAATCAATAGGAATCAAAGAGATATCTCCTAATTGTTAAGCTAGGGTTCAATATGAATAACAAATAAAGAGAATCACAATCAAAACCAATCGATAATTGCAATTCCTAAATCAATTGTTCATGTCATTAGCAATTACAATGCAATCTAGCATAATTCTCAAGTCCTAATTGAATTACATAGATGCAAACCTTCACTAATAACTTTAATCTCAACAATCAATCAACACAATTCCCAAATTAATCACAATTAATCAATCATACAAGTTTCACCCAATTCCTAGCCAAAAAACTATTCAAGAATCATCATCTATCAACTAACAACTATGGAAATCAAGAATCAACAAAATATCAAGAACAATTACTCTAATCAAGCATCAAACATCAAAATTAAACCAAAACAACATGAAATTAAACAAAGCAATAAGATGAGATAGAGTTAAGAATGCTCATTGATAATAGAGAAGATCTTGAACACAATTGTCACCCTTGTATCTTCAATCTCTCAATCACCATTGAAATCCTTCACTTTCTCTCTCTAAAACTACTCCTAATCTAGAGAGAGAAGCTCTCAACCTAAGAGAGAAACTATTCTAAAAACTAAGAATTACATGAATGAATGATAATGAAAACCCCCCCAAAAAAATCTATAAACAAAAGGAGAAAAGAAGCTTAAAATCGTAAAAGACCTAGAAGCCCGCGCCCTCGGAGAAATCGGCCGCGCCCGCGGACACCCCGGAAGCCAGGCCCACGGCCAAAGCCCGCGCCCGCAGGGCCGAGGCCAGCGCCCGCGGCTAAAGCCCGTGCCTGCGGGGAGCCCGCGCCCAGCCCGCGGAGAGTTACTGCCCAAAATCGGCAGAAATAGGTTGAGGCAGATTTGCAGGGCCAACTCTGGAAGGCTGTAACTCACGATATAGGAATTTTATGAAGGCGTGCAACCTATAATTGGAAAGCTATTCAAGTCTAGTTTCCAACTCAACTTGAATCACCTCAATCCGATTTGTAGAACTTCAGATATGGCCGAAACAATGCATAAAGGTCCTTTTTGATACTTTGTAAGCCTTCATTTTCCTTTGTTTCTTGGATTGGCTTGACTTGCGTGCTTGGCTTCCCTAACTTGGCTCCGTTAAATTCCTTTAATGAACTTGAGCTCCCTCCTTGATGATTAAATCCCGAGAATCTCGACACACCTACAAAACAAGTCAAACAAACGGAGAAGCGAGGGAAATAGTCGAGAAATGAATAAAATAATAAGAAAACCATTAAAAACACGCATTTCTCTAAACTAACACACAAACACGCAAATCAAGCATTATTCCCTAAAAAAACGACATAAACAACTAAAAACGAGCATAGAAATATAAAGAAAACTTAGCCTAAAGGTGCCATAAATGGCACGGATCAGCATCACCCCCTGAAATAGGAGCATCAATTGCCCAACAATCTTTCTCACGAGCAGCATCATTTATCTCCTTAGCTAACTCAGGATGACTACTAGTATTATCAATCACAACACCATTAGAGCTCAAATCTGATAAAACCCCTGTTTCTTTGGTTAAGATAATTTGTCGAACATCTTGCGGGTGTCCCAGCATCGTAAAGACGATGTCTGAGGATTTGGCAACGTCAGCCGGAGAAGCAGCGAGGTGCACACCAAGAGCGATAAGTGGGTCGGCTTTTGATGGGGTGCGAGCGTAGATGGTTAGAGAATAGCCGGATGAGAGTAGGCGAGATGCCATTGCAGAACCCATAATGTCGATACCGATCCAGCCAATTTTGGTGGCAGATGGTGTGATTGGAGGGAGATTGAGAGCAGCCATTTTTAGGGGTGGTTTGTTTGATTGTTAGTTTAGTGGCAAGATTTGGTCATGGATGCTCTCGAATTGGTTGATGATGATAGAGACTCAAGTCAACAAGTCTATTAACTACGAAGTATTTATTTATTTATTTATTTATGCGGAAAAATTCTTAAATTTAAAATGTCTACTTTATTTATATGATAGGTTAGAACTCGTGCGATACACGGTTTGTATAAAATTCATTTTTAATTTGTACATTTTAAAAATAAATCGCAATTATACATGAATATAAATAAGAATTATGTATATTATGTAATTTTCAATTTTTTATTTTCATCAAATTATGATATAGTATCCATTCAATGTCGTCTAATTCATAGTTCAATATACGAGGTCATTTATTAGTGTGCTATTTAAAATTGTTTCAATTTCCTACGATAAATTAATAGGTTTTAGCTATAATGTGCTATTTAAAAGTGTTTCAATTTCCTACGATAAATTGATAGGTTTTAGTTATAACTAGTATAGTACCCGTGCATTGCAATGTGGCGATAAGTAATTTTTCTATATTTCTTTTATATATTTTTTGTTGATATCATTTTAAAATAACTTGGCTTGCTTTTAAAAAAAATATTAAAAACAATTGGTATATAAATATTAAAAAAAAGGAAAATGTTATACATAGCCCATAGGGCTACATATAAGCATTAAATTTACACTTGAAAATCGTAAAAAGTTAAGAAATCATCAAAATATAAACACTAATAACACTGATTTACGCGTGTTTTTCTCATGAATTCCTAATTTTATGTAATTTTCAAGAGTATATTTAATGCTTATATATAACCCTTAGGGCTACATATAATATTACCCTAAAAATAACATGTACATAGTCTTTTTTTTTTTTTAAATGTTTATTATTTATTGTTATATTCTAATATTTACTACAATATTATATAAAATTTTCTAAAATGATGGTTAGACAAAATGTATTTAATGATTCATCATCTATTGAGCTTATATGTTTAGAGTGGAAGCTTAAAAAAATGTATATTATTATACACTAGTACATAACTAACCTTAAGTAACACCTAAAAATTGTTACATAAAGTGTTAAAAGTGTTATTATAGACAATAGGTAACACTTTAGTGGGTGATACATCCGCCCATGATACCTTAGACCTTATGTAACACTTTAGGTAACATATAGTAGCACTTTTAAAAGTGTTACTCTAAACCCTCTTATGTAACACTTATCTTATAGTATTAGTATCATTATTTAAGTGTTACTTTTATTTCTAATGTAACACTTACTTATCTTTAATAACATTTTTCAATTATATAATATTACTTTATCTAACATAGTGTATCACTTTTAAAAACTAACGTAACACCTTGTTGAATTTTAAGTAACATTTTTCAATCATCTGTTGTTGACATAGTATCCCTTTATTCAACATTAGGGTATCACTTTTAGGAAACTAACTTAACACTTTATTATTTATGATTATCAATATTAGTTAAAGTATGCAAAATTTTTAATTTTTATTTAATATAAAAATAATAGTAATATATTTGAAATTAACATAGACATACAATAATTAGGATTGATATAATTTCATAGTTTCTTAAAAAGAAATTCCATAAATACCAATTTTTTTTTGCTTGGCTAAATAATCTAATAAACAAAACAAATAGAAAGTCAACTTCGATCTCTAGATTAGACCATCAAAGTCCAAAGCCAATAGCAGCAGCCAGTAGGTAGTAGTAACAACAGTCATCAGCCCCAGACATCACCTAATTGTAACAGCAGATAGCAGCAGGCCAACACGCAGCTAGAAGTAACAGCAGATAGCAGCAGCTTGGAGTAACAATAGTCAGCACTATGTATTACCAGGCCAACAAATAGCAGCAGCAGCAAACATCAGTAGCATCAACAAACATCAGTAGCATCAACAAACATCAGTAACAACAGCAGCAGCAATAGTGACATCTACAGCTACATGATGCAAGCATGTTTCTTGTGGCCTTGACAAAAGTACTTCTTTCCATCGTCTCCAAACTTCCAATGCTCAACTCATGGTATATCACTCCCCTGCTCATAAATGAATAGCAAAAGTAAATATAATGAGAATTGAAAAAAGTGTAACCTTTTTTTTTCTTTTTTTGAAACCAAAAAAAGTGTAATTTGATAGTCTAAGAGTAAATGAAATGTACTTTTGAGCAAGGACTACCAAGACCAGATTTCATACATCCTAAGTAAACCCGAGGCTGTGAACTTGTACTACTAATCATTACAGGAAAGCTTCAATTATGTAATTAAAAGGTGTTGAAATGTAGCAATCCTATGTATCTAGAAAAGAATTATATATCCACATCTTACATCCTACACTTTTTTGTCAAGCTTAAAGTTTCAAATGTCATCCATAAGCAAAAATACAAAGTAATATATAACCTTACATACTTCGTCATATTGAAAAATAGCATAAGAGACAAATCTTGTTATTTTAACATACCTTTTTCTAAATAATTCTCTTTCTAGAGAGTATTTAATCAACTTATCAGCAAGAAGTGATGGGAAATGAAAGATACAACCAAAGACAAACATAAAGATACGTGCAAACTTCCTGTAAACAATCTAGGAAGAAGAATGAATGGGGACATCTACAATCCAGACCTCAGAAAATAAGATAACACACGACAAAGAAGATTAAGGATGGCTGCAAAAGAAATATTTGACAACAAAGTCCTCTACAATGATAGTAGTTCATCAGGGACTTATTTTAGGATATTGCAAATAAGTATTGGTTAGGTACACGATGATCAGTTAGGTAACTTATCTTAAAAGGTAAATCATGTACATGTACCTTTTGCGAATAAGTATTGGTTAAAGGTACATGTATATGCAAATAAGTTTTGGTAAATCCTCCATGTATTTGTACATGCATGTACCTTTTGCGAATAAGTGTTAGTAAATCAAAAGGTGCATGTACATGCAAATAAGTGTTGTTAAATCAGAAGGTACATGAGCAATTATCAATAAGTAAAGGTAAATCATGTACCAGTACAAATACCAGTCAACAAATAATACCATATATACTTATATAGTCACCATGATAAACAGAAATCCATCAAGATATAACCCAAAATCTCCACAAAATTCAATCAAAAAACATGAAACAACTAGAAATTCAAACATCCACTAAGAACAACAAGAAAATTTCTACATTTAAACTAAAACCCATAAAACAATTACCAGGCCAAAATCTGATTGACCCACCATTATACAACATCAAAAACAAATCTAACAACTGCCTACTTCTTCAAATAATAAATCAAAAGATACAACAACATCCTCGAGTCACATAATCATCAATAAAGCCCACCATCTACAAACCAGTCATAATTTCAACAAATTTCAACATAGATCCAAAGAAATACACAAAACCCAATGATTTATAAAAGGAACAAGAAGCAACTACATGTATTTATTACCTTTTGATAATTTTATTAATGTTCTCATTTCATTATGCTTGATCTTGTAGTCCTATTTCTCTTGATTTGGTGATTCCACTATATCTCTCCATTCGGTTTGACTAGAAGAAGCTCTGGTAGAAAGTAGATGCTTTAGATTGATATTAAATATAGAAAGTGTGATATCTTCTTACCTATCATCACTGTTTGATTCTACGGCGACGCCAGTGAATTGTAATTTAAAAGCCTAAGATAATATAATTATTCCCCTAACATGTTGGAGACAACTAAACGATTTCCAAATTAGAGTTCAAAATTATATACAACATACATAAAAATAATGACTTACAAATGTCGAATTCATCAGCATATTTATTAATGGATTACTGGATGAATGAATGAACAAATTAAACGTGAGCCAAATCTAAAGTTTAATTATTAGATGAATGATGAAAAGAAAGATGTGTTAGAGAGTAGCACAAAATAGAAATTAAAATGCGGGAAAATTGAAAAAAAACTTACTTTTAAAATAAGATCTTACCTAATGAGCAAACAATTGAAGACCTCCTCCACCTCTGCCGCCACCCGCCACTAATCTGAACAAGGTTGGGGAGAAAAAGAGAGAAAATGAATACATTGAAATCCTAAAATTAATTAGTTATATAAATATTTAAGGTTTATTAGATTATCTATAACGAATTTAGGAGATAGAAAATTGAAAATACATAATCAATTAACGATAAACCCTATATTTTGAAATGTGAATTCGATGATTTATAAACAATAACCTAGAAGTTGCTTCAATGGGGGGTTAGAGATCGAAACTGAGAAAGCTCAAAGTCGCTTCAATGGAGGAAAAAGATCAGAATGCCGAGCGAGCGAGAACTCCAGCAATTTGCTAACAAATCTTCAAGCTTACGAAACAATGAACTATTCGATTAAATTCAACCAAATTTTTGAGTACTTTAGGGTTTATATGATAGTATGTACTATATGTTACGAATTTAGGAGAGAGAAAGTTGAATATAAAGACTCAATCAACAATAAACCCTAGATTTCGAAATGAAAATTCGATGATATAAAATACATTACCTCTGATTTCATAAAGGGGAAAGCTCAGAAATTGCTTTAATGGAGGATAGAAGAAAGCTTGGAGGTAGCTTCAATGGAGGAAAAAGATTAGATAGTCGCTTCAATGGAGGAGAATTCAAAGTACGAGGGTAGATTAATTGATTTTGGGAGAAGGAAGTTACTCGTAAGTTTATAATGTTACTTAAGTTAAAAGGGTTACATCAAGTGTTACATTCTAACAAAATGTTACCAAAGTGTTACTTATAAATCTAGTAATTTTGCATTTTAAAAAATGTTACCAAAACGTGTTACATAAACTCAATTATGTACTAGCTATCAATATCTAATATTATTGTATATTGAAAAGATTCAAAAGTAGTAATGAGTATACAACAATATTGATGCCAAAGTCAATTTTCGTATTTTTAGTTTTAAACCTACTTAATCCTAAAATCTAGCAAGTAAAAGGAAAGGGCAAACAAATAAAAATATAAATAAATTGATGATATCATAAGTAAATTTGGAGGGAAATTTTTTAATGAGAGCTTGACACGTATGACACTTTAAGGAATTGATGACATCAGCACGTTTTGTTTTAGTAATAGTTACTAGGTTAGAACCCGTGCGATGCACAGTTTATATGAACCTATTTTTAATTTGTACGGAGTACATTTTAATAATAAATCGCTATTATACATGAATATAAATAAGAATTACGTACATTTTGTAATTTAAAATCTTTTATTTTCATCAAAACTATGATACAGTTACTGTTCGACGTCGTCTAATTCATAGTTCAATATAGGAGATCGTTTATTAGTGTGTTATTAAAAATTGTTTTAATTTCCTACAATAAATTGATAGGTTTTAGCTGTAAGATATAAGCTTTTAATATTTAAAATTCAAAAATGTTAAATAGGATAACTCTACAAAAAAAAAAAAAAATTACATCATCTTTGCATTTAGGCGGCAAAATTTTTATTAAGAGAATGACACGTGGGTAGTTATGGTGTCATCATTTTCTTATTTAGTAATAGTTAGTAGAATAGATGTAGAAGCTTTTAATATTTAAATTTCAAAAATGTTAAATATGATAGCTCTACAAAAAAAATGACATCATCATTGCATTTAGGCGGGAATTTTTTAAATAAGAGAGTGACACATAGACAATGATGACATCAACATCTTCAGTTTTAGTAAAGTTAATAGATATTAGATTAGATTTAATTTATTTACAAAAATAATAGAGAATAACTGAAAATAAGTTTTAATTAGGAAAATAATTTGGTTTTGGCAAAAATACTTTTAGTTCAATAAAAATAATTTCAGTTTGATAAAATATAATTTTAATTCATTATATTTAAATATCCTGCATTATCAAAAGGGATTATATGACTGTATATAACCTTCAATCCCGGACACAAAATTTGTATATATATATATATATATATATATATATATATATAAGGAGTTTTTTTCCGAGTTTATAAAGAGCCAGGATTTTGATTTTTAAAAAATTATTAGAGCGTCATGCGGGATTTAAAGCGTTACGTGTAGGATTATGTTACGTAGTATTATTATTTTATAGCGCCACGTAAGATTAAAATAAAAGGTTTAAATTTATTATAGAAATAAAATACTATCTTTTTAAATTGGAAATTTTATCTAAGAGAAAAAAGTTATTTTATTTTGTATATCTTTAAAAAAATACTATTAAACTTAAAAAATAAAATTCGCGTTCAATTGATATTATAAAAAAAAATTAGATTAGATTAAAAAAAATAATGAAAATATGACAGATGATTATGATAAGATATTTTATAAAAAGAACTAATAATCAATTATAAAAATATTAGTTTTCTCTTTAAAAAACTAGTTTTGGATTAGATACAAAAAATAAGAAATAAATCATTGAAAGTAAAAATGTATCCTTTCTTTTTCTCTATCCAAAAAAAAAATATTCATCATTTATTCGTAAAAAATATTAAGTTTTACGTTAATAAATTTTATGATATCTAATATTAAACTTTATTACCAATTTAAATCCAGTATTTTTTAAAGCCTATATAAACTCATCTAATGTTCAACGCGATGAACGATGATCATAATTAAGAAGCCAGTTCAGTCATAAGTGTTTATTTTTCTAAGGGATGTTAATTTTGCAAGGGGACGAGTTTAATTATGCAACTTATTAACTAGCACAATCAACAATTGATTACAAAGCATGATGAAGCCTGGAAGATTATATTTTTACCACGTTCACAATTTGAAAAAAAAAGGTTAACTAATTACATATAGTTTCACATGTTTTATTTTCTTTTTATTTTTCTTCAAGAATTGGTTTGTATTGTTGTTTAAACAAACAATTTACTAAATATACTGTGTTTATATATGCGTGAACTTTAAATGTCTAAGATTAAAAAAACATAATATTATGTAAAAAATGTTAGTTTTCTCTTAAAAAAAAAACTAGTTTTATATTAGATACAAAAATAAGAAAAAATCATTGAAAATAAAAATATATATCCTTTCTTTTTCTCTATAAAAAAAAAATAATAAAATTCATCATTTTTTCGTCTAAAATATTAAGTTTTACGTTAACAAATTTTATCATATCTAATATTAAACTTTATCACCAATTTAAATCCAGTATTTTTTAAATCTTATATAAACTCATTCAATGTCCTACGCGATGAACAATGATCATAATTAAGAAGTCAATTCAGTCATAAGTGTTTATTTTTCTAAGGGATGTTAAATTGTCAAGGGGGCGAGTTTAATTATGCAACTTATATATCTTTAGAAAGCGTGATTACAAGTACAAATTCCCTTTAATCCTGCAAGAGAGGACGTGATCAAGCAATAACAAAATATATCAAGCAACATAATATTATTGATAAAATAATCATCATCATGATAATAATAATATTTTTATCAAAGCGTAATCATATTATTAGCAGGATCCTAGGCATGATACTAACGAGATTAATAACAAATCATATCATGTCACTAAACATTAAAGATCAAAGCTTTAATCCTAACAAGATATTAACATGATAGAAGAAATAGGAAGTAACCTAAACATGATACTAGAAAGCAATACATAACATCCTAACATGATAATAGGAATTAAAATAATATAAACATGCTTTCTAAAGATATATAGCAATAATAAAACTTACTTTGTTGCCTCGTTTCTCTTTCTAATAACAAAATACACACGCTAGTAATAACTTCAAGGAAAATAGTAAATCAAAAAATTAATTTAAATAATTGAAATAGGGATTTGGGACCAAACTCTAAGAAATTATCAACCTTTCACATCTAGGGCGAAGGCAACTTCGAGCTTGGCTAGGTGTGTCTAGAACTCGTGAATGCGGTATTTTTATTTGAAAAAGGAAGGCTTAGAAAGAGAGAGAAAGAATAAGCTTCTAGGTTAGAAGAGAATAGAGTTAGATGATTGTTGATGATTAAAAACGGAGAAATACGACCCTAGAAAAATAGTCCGGAAACGATCAGCAAAAGACCGAATCCCATCCGGAATAAAACTACCTCTGTGGTGGCGCGATAGAGTCCAACGCGGCGCGACAACTTTGTTGTGGCCCGCTAGTTTTGTTGTTTCGCGATGATTCACACGTTTTCTAAAATCCGTACAAAATTTTAATCTAATCGATTACATAACGTCCGTACTTATATTTTAAAATCAAATTTAATATTCATCTAAATAAAATTCTTTATATTCTAAAAGATAAAATTATAAATCCTAATTCCACTAGAACTCAAAATAGCCTTCTAGATTATTCTAGAATATTAAAGTCAATCCTAATGACTTTAGATTTATTAGTTAATGGGCCCTCCACTAGATCATTGGGCCGTATATAAAACTTATTTCGGACCCAATTTAGTATTTTGGCCATAGTAACTTACTCATTATTCATCGGAATTGGGCTTATAATATATTGTTGGAAAGTTCTTTTCGAGCCCAATCTAACTACTCTATTATTGGACCCTTATCATGGACCAAAAAAAATTGTATTGGACATCTTCATAAATAGAGTACATTTTCGAAAACAGAAAGAAAGTTATTTTTATTAAAACAACCTCATCACAAGACTTTTCACACTTTCACTTCATTCGATAATCATTGACGTGAAAGGTATTCATCACTGGGTTTGGTTTTTGGGGAGACACAATTAGGTGTCTACAGAAGCCCCCACTTTGACTGAGTTTGGAGAAACGTATCTTTCGAAAACAAAAGTCAAAGTAGCGATAGGGACGGAGAATGATTAAGAACGTTTTGCGATCCTAAATCATTCTTGTAACGCCGATACCTGCAAACTAGCATTAGTTAAACAGATAAAAGAGTTAAGAAACGCGTATCTTGCACCGCCGAGAACACGTCTCTAGGGTAATCGATTTTATTGCTGCATTTTTGTTGTGACGACCTTCACAAACTAGGGAACGCCATCTCGCTGTTGTTGATGTTCACTCGTCTCTGAACAAAAGAGCTTCTTTTTGAGGAATGCTCACTTGTCTCTGAACAATAGAGCTTTTTTGGAAGAATGTTCACTCGTCTCTGAACAATGGAGCTTTTTTGGAAGAATGTTCACTCGTCTCTGAACATTGGAGCTTGAAAGGAATTTCCAAGCATCTTTGAGCAAAAGAGCTTTAAATAAATGTCCACTCGTCTCTGAACAAAGAGCTTTGAAGAAATGTCCACGCATCTCTGAATAAAGAGCTTTGAATGTTTGAATGTTTGTTGAGATCGTTCGGTTGGCTGCAAACAAGAGCTTTGGTGAATGGTTATATCCTGTAAAATCAAAAGATTGCCAAAAGACTTTGCTGGTGTTTTACTTAGGATTGACCTAAGGCTTAACTAATTGCTCTGACTTGAGGTTGACTCAAGGTGCTTTTACTGAATTGAGTTTGACTCAATGTGTTTTGATACGTGTGTGTAAACTGAAATTGATGTGATGTGACATGACATGACTTAGCGTACATGACTTGTGTGTGCATTGTAATGTGATTGTGCGACTCGAAAATGAAAAAAAGCAAAAAATTTCCGTCATTTTTGTGGAGGGTACCGACTTTCTCCCGGAAAAGAAAGACACGACAAAGAATCAGAGTGAGTGATTGAGAATTTGCGGTGCGTGTTGAATGAGCTTTGTCAAATGTATGCATCGACGTTGTATCTCACA